GGGGGGGGGGGGGGGGGGGGGGGGGGGGGGGGGGGGGGAAGAGGCTGGGGTGTACTGGGAGGGACTGGGGACACTGGGGAGGGGACCCCCCAGCTGTGCAGCCATCCCCTCCCCCCGGGGCACTCGGATGTCCGGGAGCTCCCCCCACCCCCCGCATCCGGGTGCCCCCCCGCACCTCCCCCCCCGTGGGACTCGGGCCTTGGGAAATATTGACCCACGGGGGGGAGGGGGGCACACGGAACCGCCCGGGGCGGGACCCCCCCCGGCCCCGGGAACCCCCCTCCACATTCCCACGCTCCTGCTTTCCCCACAACTCCCGGAATTACACCCACAAATGACCCGCAAACGGCGTTTTCTCCCCAACTTTTATTTTATTTGGGGGGGGGGGGGGGAGGGGCAGGGCGGGTTTGAGTGATATAGAAACGCGGCTGTTCCGTCTCCGGGGCGGTTTCGGGTCATGGCAGCGGCGAAAAGTCGATTTTCCGCATCACTGGGAGGGAAAAAAGGAGAAATCCAGGGGAGCTTTGGGGCAGTTTCCCTCTATTTTCATGCTTTTTTGAATTTTCTCCTGTTTTCTAGGGCTGTCCCCCTCCCCCCCCCCTCCTCTTCGGGAGGCTCTTGCCCCTTTTTTTTGGTCACTTTCCCCCCTTTTTTGGCTCTTCCCCCCCGTTTTTGTGCTACCCTCCCCTTTTTGGGGGGCTCTTTCCCCTTTTTTGGGGTCTCTTTCTCTTTTTTGGACTCTTTCTCCCCCTTTTTGGGCTCTTTCCCCCTGGTTTTGGCTCTTTCACCTCTTTTCTCTTTTCCCCACTTTTTTAAGCTCTTTCCCTCCTTTTTGAGCCTTTTCCATCTTTTTTTTTTTCCATCTTTCCCCTTGCTGGGTGGGCTCTTCCCCCTCTTTTTCATGCTCTTTTCCCCTTTTTTCCTTCCAACCCCCACAAGCCCCTCCCCCTTTGCCCCCCCAGGTGTCCCCACCTGGCTGAAGTCAGGAGCCCTCCAGGCCTGTGCCAGCTCCCTCGTGTCCCCTGTCACTGTCCCGTCAGGGCCCCGCAGGTCATTGGTCGTGGCCCCGTCATAGTCCCCGCAGAGGCCACAGAGGGTCCCCCGAGTGTCCTTTGTCACCTCCAGGGCCACCCCCTGGGCTCCCAGTTCCACCTGGAATCCTGGGATCCACCCGATCCGGAGGGTCCCGCCTGACTCTGTGATGTTCAACTTCCCCGAGAGCTCCACGGGGAGGGAGGTGGGGACTCCGTTGAGCTGGAAAAAACAAATTGTGAGGGATTTCGGTACTGGGATGTGGGAGGGGGGATTGAAGGAGTCTGGGTGGGAAAGAAGGAGTTTGGGGAAAATGATGGGATGGGTCAAGGCATGGTGGGATGAGGGACAACCTGTGTAGGTTCATGAAATTGGGAAGAAATGAGCAATTTTAGCAAAAATGATGGGGTGGGTCAGTCTATGAATGCATCATACTGACCACTGCCCACAGAACTGCTTCCCTGGCATGCAACTGGGAGAAAGAGGAGCAATGAGGGAAAAAAAGAGCAGTTTTAGGCAAAATGATGGGATGGATCAAGGCATGGGGGGGTTGAGATGAGGGGCAACCCATATAGGTGCCTCTCTGGCACAAAATTGGGGGGAAAAAAGAGTGACTGGGGGGGAAAAAGAGCAATTTTAGTCAAAATTGTAAGGTGGGTCAAGGCATGGTGAGGGACAACCCATGTAGGTGCTTCCCTGCCATGAAATCAGAGGAAAAAAGAGCAATCTGGGGCAAAATCAAGGTCAGAACATCTTGTGGGGGTGGGATGGGACAACCCACATGGACTTTTTCTCAGTGTGAAATAAAGGAGAAAACCCAGATTTTTGGTTAAAATCAAGGTCAGGAGAACTTCAGGGTGGCACTTTTGGGCCCAACTCACCCAGACTCTGCCATCCGTGCGGGCAGTGATGAGCCCGTGGTGGGTGAAGAGGTGAAGGGCCACCATCCCTGGGTGGTCCCCGATGTCCCCAATGACCCCCAGCAGCCGGAACCAGGTGGGGGCCCGGAGGTCACACACAGTGGCCACCACGTAGACGCCGGTGGCCAGGGTGGCCCCGGGGAGGCCATCGAAGGTGACAAAGCGGGTGGGAGAGGACAAGAGGCACCGCCCTGGGCGGGGGACACAGGTCCGGGTGCCATTCAAGAGGTCACAGGTGTGGCCCAGGGGGCAGGAGAAGGGGCGGCACTGGAGCCCCCCTGGGCCCCGGCACGTGCAGGACTGGGAGCAGTCCCGGGTCAGGATGGTCTGGGCGATCTGTTTCCAGGGAAAAAGGGGGGAAAAGTGGTAAAAAGTGGTCAAAAAATAGGGATGATGGTGCTGTGAGGTGTCATGGTCCATGTCCCCATGTCCCCCCACATCCCCATCCCCCCCATGGCGACACGT